TTAAAGACAGAATTTTGTATGTAGAAAGTCTTAAGGAATCTTCAAAATAAAGAATTTTGCAAGGTCACAGGATACAAGGTTAATGTATAAAAATGAATTATATTTTTATGTTTAAAATTGGGGAATGAAATTTATTTTTTATGTATTTTATTTTTAGAGACAGAGTCTCATTCTGTTGCCCAGGCTGTAGTGCACTGGGCACAATCATGGCTTGCCGCAGCCTCAAACTCCTAGGCCAAAGCGAGCGCCTCTCCTCAGTCCTGCACACCATCACCAGCTAATTTTTTTTTTTTTAATTTTCAAATATATATATTTTTTGAGATAGAGTCTTGTTCTGTTGCCCAGGCTGGAGTGCAGTGGCACAATCGCTACTCACTGCAACCTCTGCCTCCTGGGTTCAAGCCATTCTCCTGCCTCAGCCTCCAAGTAGCTGGGATTACAGACACCTGCCACCACAGCTGGCTAATTTTTTGTATTTTTAGTAGAAACAGGGTTTCACTATGTTGGCCAGACTGGTGTCAAACTCCTGGCCTCCTCAAAGTGATCTGCCCTCCTCAGCCTCCCAAAGTGCTGGGATTCTAGGCATGAGCTACCGCCTCTAGCCACACCAACTAATTACTTATTTATTTACATTTTTTTGAAGAGGTGGCATCTTGCCATGTTGCTCAGGTTGGTCTCGAACTACTGGCCTCAAGTGATCATCTCACATTGGCATCCCAAACTACCACCAAGCCTGACCAGTTTTCTTTGGATATATTTCTTTTCCTCTACAGTGGAACTTCTTTTAATTAATCAATCAATTATTTATCTATTTTTGAGACAGTCTCACTGTTGCCCAGGCTGGAGTGCAATGGCACGATCTCAGCTCACTGCAACCTCCACCTCCCAGGTTCAAGCAATTTTCTTGCATTAGCCTTCAAGTAGCTGGGATTACAGGCATGCACCACCATACCCAGCTAATTTTTTATTTTTTTTGTACTTTTATTAGAGATGGGGTTTCACCATGTTGGTCAGGCTGGTCTCAAACACCTGACCTGGTGATCCACCCACCTCGGCCTCCCAAAGTGCTGGGATTATAGATGTCAGCCACTGCGTCTGGCCTACTTATTTTATTCTTTAAAAATTGGGGCCACAGGCCGGGTGTGGGGGCTCACGCTTATAATCCCAGGATTTTGGGAGGCCGAGGCGGGTGAATCACTGGAGGTCAGGAGTTTGTGACCAGCCTGGCCAACATGGGGAAACCCCACCTTAAAAAATAAATAAATAAATAAATAATTGCGGCCACACCTATAAGAGCAGTGGCTCACACCTGTAATCGCAGCACTTTGGGAGGCTGAGGCAGGAGGATTGCTTGAGCTCGGGAGTTTGAGATCAGCCTGGGCAACATAGTGAGATCCACATCTGTACAAAATTTAAAAAATTAGCTGGGCATGGTGGCACACACCTGTAGTCCCAGCTACTTAGGGGGCTCAGCAGGGAGGATTGCTTGAGCTTGGGAGGGTGAGGCTGCAGTGAGCTGTGATCTTACCACTGTACTTCAGCCTGGGCAACAGACCAAGACCTTGTCCCTCCTCAGAAAATGGGTATCTTTAGAGAGCTTGTTTATGGGGACATTGCCCCAGTTGAAAATGTGAGGTTTTGCTCCTATGAATCATGACCAAATCTGTTAGATTTCTTTCCCTCGATTTTTATGGAATCCTTCAGTCAGCCTCCTATAAAGGACAGAAATACTGACAGAAATTGTTTCAAAGTAACATTTTTTCCTAATCAGTGCTTTGATCAGAATCAAATGTTTTCATGAGAGAATGCTCTATAATTTGGAAGACTTTGTAAGAACTCAGGTGTAAGGTGACTTTCTGGGTAATAATTTTGGAAAAACTTGTTAAATTTTGCATATGACGTTTAGATTGTGTTCAAGGTGCCCATATATAGGCAACCAGGGTGAACCTCCTCCTCCTTTTTTTTTTTTTTTTTTTTTTTTTTTTTTTTTTTTTTTTTTTTTTTTTTTTT